GCTCTGCCAGGGAGGAGGGGAAGCTGGGAGGAAGCAGAGACAGGACACCTGACCCAAACTAGCCAAAGAGGTATTCCATAACACAGCATGTCATGCCCAGGATGTAAACTGGGAGTTACCCAAAGTGGCTAGATCACTGCGGGGTTGGACTAGGTATTGGTTGGTGCTCAGTCGGGCTGGGTATTGTTAGTTGGTGGGTGTTATTGTATTGTCTTCCCTTTTATTTCTTTTATCATTATTATTATTGGCGGCAGCATCAGTGATGTTTGTTATACCTTAGTTACTAAACTGTTCTTAACCTTTGGGAGTTACATTCTTTCAATTCTCCTTCCTATCCTTCTGGGAGCAGGGGGAAGAAAAGGTGGGGGGGAGTGAGAGAGAGAATGTGTGGCTGATTTATGGTTGACAGGGTTTAAACCACGACAGCCACTCATCCACTTATTAATAAATGTCTTTAATATGTTACTGAACCAAAAGGAATTAACAAGTGTTTTGTCTACATCCATACACAGATTGACATGCTAGCTGTGCATCAGAGAGATGAAAAGGGATTCAAGCAGCCAATTTTTTGTTGAATTTAATGAATGTACCAGTTATGTTATGTTAGTCAATTTCAATCAATGTTTCTCAAGACCTAAGTGAAATTCAGGAGGCTGGAACAAGTTTAGGGAAGGCTGATGCCCCAGAAAATTACTGACAGATTTGTTTGAGGAAATGGAAGTTTAAGCTCCTTTGGAGATATTCTCAAAAGTATGATAAAGATTTAATGCAGCTAGTCAAAGATATAAGCAGATGTAAGTATGTTCACAAACACTGAGGAAGCTTGGGTCTACCTTTTGTGGAAATGTTTTTACTGTAGACTGTTAATCATTAAAAAAGTGAAACAAATTATCATCAGAACAAACTACGTAATTGCATAGAAATTATCTCCAGTTTGTTTCTTTAACTGCTCTGTCAGCTAATTCCAGTTTCTTGTATTATATAGAAGCAGGACAAAAATGTAACGAGACTGTACAGTCTTTGATAAGGTCTACCAGTACTGTAGTCCTCACACAACCTCTTCCAGGAGCCCTGAGATCACAGCTTTTATGATAAAGTTCATCCAGCTTTCATCAGTATATGTTATGAACAATATTTTGTGAATAGTACTAGAACAGAGCCTGGTTTTGCCCAGATATTGCAAAGGGAGGCATAGGCATCCAATACAAACACTGCAGATATCCAACAAGGTATAAGATGAAGTATACCTTTTTCCTTTTGTCTAATTAATTATATTCTAGAAATAGTAGTTTACTGATATGTCTATTATAGTTGTTACAGATCTACTGGGAGGTGCTCCTTTACGTCATTAACTTTCATTCGATATTGCTAACGTAAAAATATGAAATCCAATGTAGTGAGGTTTGTTATGGTTACTAAAAATAAAGATCTACACATTCACCTGCCTTTTCTGAGGCAACTTTAGCCTGGTGGTTTTATTCCTCCACACATGGGTACAGTATCTGTAGGTAGTAGTGAGTCAATGGGGTAAATACTACACCAAAGGGAAAATTATCACTATATATGACTATCTTTAAGTATCATGCACAGTCAGAGAAGGAAGGGAAAAGATTTATTTCCCATCTACAGTCCTAGTTCAGTGGATCAACAGTTCTGAATCTGGCTGATCTGGTTTGCAACAGAACACAGTAATTTGTAAAGCCCCAGAATTAAATCACTCAGGAAGAGTTTTTGACAAATATCCAAAAGTCTGTAATGCACATATGACTTCATCACATAGAAACTGAAACATGGATTACTGATGATGGGGTGCAGAAAAAATGTTCAGGATTTTCTTGGAAAATACAAAATATGTTACCCCAATAAAAAGTAAATATTATAGACACAATAAAGATAAAAATCCAGTATCAGCTAAAGGGTTAGACAGTGAGGAGTGACTGCCTGAGCGAACAGCAATACAATCTCTGCAAAATTCATTATTCATAAATCATATACCTTTTTTATAAAACATTAGTTCATCTGACTCGTGAGCAAGTTCGTTTAAAGAAATACCCAACATTTCAATTAAGAAAACTAATGGGCCATATTCTCCTGTGGGATGACTTGTCATTCCTGCACCAGTACAGCCTATAGTGTGACCATGATTATAACAGTACAGAGGTATTACACTCTATTGCAAGTGGTTAATGCAGAAATTGACACTATGAACACACTACATATATACCACCAAAATTATAGCCATGCTGCATTTCCTGTTCTGGTACAGGTGTATGACTCCTCTGTATAGAAAAAGAAAACCTGAAGCAAAAGCAACCAATCAAAAACCACTGTCAGCTTGAAGAGATATGTGTAAAATTTAGCAAAATAAGCAAGGTTATGAAGAAAAAACCAACATGCTGCAAGAAATGTGGAACAAAAAGGCCTTGTTTCATGCATATCTGCATTACTGGCGATTAATTCATGGCTTCCCTGATAGATAGCAATGGCCTTTTTTCTGATAAGGACATTTTTGCTTGACCCCCTATACTCATGGAGTTTGAGAGACTCTAGGGCCTCTTGTATCACGTCTCTGTCAGATTTCACTGAAATCAGCCACTGACTCGAGATGCTTGAATTTGAGATCCTCAGGACAGTGAGAAGAGCGTGCAGCAAGCTCACTACCCTGGACTTCAAAAGAGCAGACTTTGGCCTCTTCAGGAACCTGCTTCGGAAGGTTCCATGGGATACAGCGCTAGAGGGCAGAGGGGCCCAAGACTGTTGGTTGATATTCAAGGATCACCTGCTGAAGCTCAGGAGTGTTGCATCCCAACCAGAAGGAAGTGCAGCAGGAGGGCCAGGAGACCTACTTGGATGGATAAGGAGCTCCTGAGGAAAATTCAAATGAAAAAAGAGACTTATAATAAGTGGAAGCGAGGACAGGTGGCATGGGGAGAGTACAGGGATGTTGTCCAAGAAGCTAGGGACCAGGTTAGGAAAGCTAGGGACCAGGTTAGGAAAGCTAAGACCCAGTTGGAATTAAACTTGGCTAAGGGTATTAAAGATAACAGGAAGGGATTCTACAGGCACATAGCAAATAAAAAACAGACAAGGGAGAATGCAGGCCCCCTCAGGAAGCTCTCGGGAGAACTGGCTACACAGGATTTGGAGAAGGCTGAGGTTCTGAATGACTTCTTTGCCTCGGTCTTCACTGGCAAAGGCTCTGACCAAACCACCCAAGTCTTGGAAGGCAGATGCAGGGACTGTGAGAATGAAGACCTTCGCCCACTGTAGGAGAGGAACTGGTTCGAGACCATCTTAAAAATCTGAATGTGCACAGGTCTATGGGACCTGATGAGATCCATCCGCGGGTCCTAAAGGAGCTGGCGAATGAAGTTGCTAAGCCACTGGCCATCATATTTGAGAAATCATGGCAGTCAGGTGAAGTTCCCGATGACTGGAAAAAGGGAAATATAACCCCCATTTTCAAGACGGGGAAAATGGATGACCCGGGGAATTACCGAGCAGTCAGTCTCACCTCTGTGCCTGGCAAAATCTTGGAGCAGATTCTCCTGGAAGGCATGCTAAGGCACATGAAAATCAACAAGGTGCTTGGTGACAGCCAGCATGGCTTCACTAAGGGGAAATCCTGCCTGACCAATTTGGTGGCCTTCTATGATGGGGCTACAGAACTGCTGCACAGGGGTAGAGCAGCTGATGTCATCTACCTGGACTTGTGTAAAGCGTTCGACACTGTCCCACATGACATCCTTGTCTCTAAATTGGAGAGACATCAATTTGATGGATGGACCATTCGGTGGATAAAGACCTGGCTGGATGGCCACACACAAAGAGTTGTCGTCAATGGCTCAATGTCCGGCTGGAGACCAGTAACGAGTGGTTTCCCTCGGGGATCGGTGTTGGGACCGGTCTTGTTTAACGTCTTTGTCGGTGACATGGATGCTGGGATTGAGTGCGCCCTCAGCAAGTTTGCCGATGACACCAAGATGTGTGGTTCGGTTGATACACTGGAGGGAAGGAATGCCATCCAGAGGGACCTTGACACACTTGTGAGGTGGGCTGGTGCCAACCTCATGAGGTTTAACCATGCCAAGTGCAAGGTCCTACACCTGGTTGGAGCAATCGCAGGCTACAGGCTGGGCAAAGAAGAGATTCGGAGCAGCCCTGCGCAGAAGGACTTGGGGGTGTTGGTTGATGAGAAAATGAACATGAGCTGGCTTCAGTGTGCGCTTGCAGCCCAGAAAGCCAACTGTGTCCTGGGCTGCATCAAAAGGAGCGTGACCAGCAGGTCGAAGGAGGTGATCCTGCCCCTTTACTCTGCTCTTGTGAGATCTCATTTGGAGTATTGTGTGCAGTTCTGGTGTCCTCAACATAAAAAGGACATGGAACTGTTGGGACAAGTGCAGAGGAGTATCACAAGGATGATCAGGGGACTGGTGCACCTCCCATATGAAGACAGGCTGAGGAAGTTGGGGCTGTTCAGCCTGGAGAAGAGAAGGCTGCGTGGAGACCTCATAGCAGCCTTCCAGTATCTGAAGGGGTCCTATAGGGATGGGGGAGAGGGACTCTTCATTAGGGACTGCAGTGACAGGACAAGGGGTAACGGGTTAAAACTTAAAACAGGGGAAGTTTAGATTGGATATAAGGGAGGAAATTCTTTCCTGTTAGGGTGGTGAGGCACTGGAATAGGTTGCCCAGGGAGGTTGTGAATGCTCCCTGGCAGTGTTCAAGACCAGGTTGGATGAGGCCTTGGGTGATATGATTTAGTGTGAGGTGTCCCTGCCCATGGCAGGGGGTTGGAACTAGATGATCTTAAGGTCCTTTCCAACCCTAACGATTCTATGATTCTATGTTGACTGGGAACAGCAGACAAATAGACAGACAAACCCGTGCTGCATCACTGAATAACCTTAACTCCCACACAGAGACCTGAAGCAAGAAACAAAAATAAAGGTTTTATTCAATACAGTAGACAAATGAAAGCAGCAGTGTTTTATACTCACTTAAATGTACATTTGTCCAATATTCTGCTTTTCTGTTTCTTCTTCTGTTTCCAAGTCCAGTACGTCAGAGAAATGGTGCATCACAACCTGGGGTAGAAAAAGACCTTAAAGCTACAGATGCACAAATGTCCTTAGTGCAGCTCAGTCTCCAGAAAGGGTCTATGGCTTTCAGCAATCTGTGTTTTCTGACAGGTCCTACAGCAGAACCAAGAAAAGGGTAACCATTGCTGAACAGTGAGGAGTAGTGCTGATGCATGGCTTCCTCAGCAAGCTTAAGACCATCATGTAGAGCAGCAGGGAAGAGGAGCCTAGAGGTGGCTGAGGAGCAGTGAAGCAAGAAAGCAATGAAAGGTTTGTTGCTTTGCCTGTGCAAGAAGGGAGCCCAAGCTTTCCTCCCACATCAGCTCTGCATTTCACCCCATGGCAATGAACTTCACTTACCTACTCAATGAGTCGCTTTACCTGAACATCACACACCGAGGTTCTCCCCATGATCGATTGCCTTGTAGTACAAAGGAATGGTTAAAAAAATGCTGCTGGAGAGAGAAGGAAAACTTTGAATGAGACTCCCCAGCAAGGGATGACCACAGATTGGGCTCTTTGACGCATGCTTTGCACACTACATGGGTGTCTCTCTTCCAAATTCTCCTTGTTTCCAGACAGTATCTTGACTCACACTGACAATGATCAACTGGCATATGCTGGAGCAAAATACATCTCCTGCAATGCAGCATTTCCCTTCCAGCATCCCCTTCAGTCTTGTGTGACACAGAAACAAAACAGGCCCACCACTTCTTTCAGCCCATCCTCAACATCTTCAGTTCCTCATTCTCTTCCATAATGTAGAAGGGACAGCACCTTCCACGTGGAGCTGTAAGATGATACCGCTTCATATTCTGCCACCTGGGACTGTTTCAATAGCAAATCAATTAGAAGTATTTAGGTTGTTTAAACCCCCACAATGTTACAAGCATACCTGCCAATGCTTCATATTTCTTTAGAATACAGTAGTAGAAAGTAACCCTATGTATCCCATACCAGTTTTACAGCAAAAACGTGCAGCAGCTTTCCAGATGCTGAAGTTGCTCTTGCTGAATGAGCCCTTTTAAATCCAAATGGGATATAAACCCATAAGACGCTGACTAGGTCTTACATTCCTTCCATGAGCAATTGCCTCGGTATATTAGAACTGTTTGAGGAATGGGCTGTAGGTGTTGTTTTAAAGACTGTTAATGGCCAGCTTTAGGACAGAAGGGGTGGGAAAATTGTTTTTAAAGTCTATTATCTTTACCTTGATTTGGGATTTTGACTTAGAAGAATTGTAAGAGTTTGGAAGGACGGAGTTCTGCACAGGCACTGCACCTATTGACTAAGGACATGTTTATTATTGGGGTGTTAAACTACAGTTAATAGAAAGAAAGGAATGAGTTTTTCCACTTAATGTATAACAGCCTTTCTGCTAAGACACAAATAAATCATTGTGCAATTGCCAAGTGACTTTTATTGGTTTTCCTGTATCTGTGAAAACATTTTGAACATTACAAGTGGCCACTTGGCTGACGTTAAGAATGCATCTCACTGAAAACTGGTGGTCACTGCTGAAACAACAAAGTTTTGCTTGGACTTCCATTCAGCAATAAATAAAACAAAAAATGACCACATGGACAGCATGGGTCTCTTTCTTGATGATTCAAGTCTAAAAACGATATCAAAAAAGGAGGTCTGCAGGGAAAGAATCAGAGTATAGACTAATTGAACGTGAATGTACCAGGTACTCTATACAATAACTTACAATAATATCGTTCACAGTTTACTACTTCACTGTGTCTACTTTTCAGCAAATATAATTTAACTCTGAGTTAAAGTGGCCTTCAGCCATCACCAGAACACAAATACTTCAAGTTGGTATCTATCTACTGTATATATCTAGTTACAGATTTAATACCTCCAAATACTGCAAAAAAAACAAAAATTCATCATCAGTCTGGTGACTGCAACATAATTATTAATGCTGATAAAGAAGAAGGGAAGGTTTTTTACTAGACTAATCAAAAGAAAAAAAAACCAAAACACAGCCAAAAAAAAAAAAAAAAGAAGAAGGAAATGCAATGGAAGCTCTTAAGCTATCACACAGTGTTTTAAAAATACTAGCCTGTTCCCAGAATGACACAGTTACTCAGTGAAAATGACATTCAGGAATGCCATTTTCACTGAGTGTCTTATGGGCTTCTAAAAGTGGGGTTCTGTTAGAAGCAGAACTTCCCAAGCCAGTTCTCTGGCACTGGTGGATCTTTCCAAATGGTTTCGGGTTTACATGAAAACAATACACTATACTACTAACCCTAAAATGGTCAGAGTTTTTTTTTTGGATAGGAATTCTTGATCATGAGCTTGTAAAAAAACAGACTTAAGAGGTACTTGTTAAACTTCACAAGTTAAACATTTTACCTGCGCGCGCACACACACACACACACACACACACACAATAACAGTGGTCATGAAAGCCCACACAAGCATCTGTTAAGGTGCATATTAGAAGTCTCAGTGTCAATACATAGTGAATATTGGGAGTATCAGGACTACTCATCTTAAAAAACTCAGAGGTTACAAGTATGAAAACGTAGAGTAAAAGCTACACATTTAAATAAGACTTTCAAACTAATCAAACTCTTTAAAGTCAATGATATAGAAATACATGCATACATTGTGAAATAATGACAGGTTAGGGTATTTTAAAATCAGTATCATGTTTCAGTACAATAACAGTATTTATTACAGTATAATATGAACTATTTTAAGCAGTACTAATACTCTAGAAGCTTTTAGTAATAACATCATATCACAACTGTTTTTTTTCTAATACTCACAAAGTTTTTTGCTTAAGAGAACCAAGTATAGCAGATTTTGGATAGGAAGAGTTATTTGATTAGTTGTTCTCATGGAGCTTGCATTTGGTTTATTTTTTATACCCCTTATTTTATTGGTTAACATTCAAATTGCACCACTTTTATGTTATTAATATCATTAGAAACATAATATCAAATATTAACTTTGTAAATCTCTCAAAAAATACTGCTGGACTTAAAAGGGTATTAGATGCTAAACTATCTTTACTGTGTAATTCATAAAGATTTCAATCTTACCACATGAATGCACTACAAAGTTAATTGCTTCTATTATTCCTTGAAAGGGAGCCATGTGACTGTTCTTGTATTAAGGTAAAAGTCATAATATTCTTATTTTACTCTCATGTTCAATGATCATACCTTCTTTTGTCTGTCTGAACAATTGTGCAGCTTTTAGCAAGGCCTCTCACTGGTTTTTGTTTGCACAGCTCTATGGCCATTAGAGTTAGAAGCTTTAATATAGTGAATAAATTCCTCTAAATGGCCAGCTGACGGCCTTCTACATTCACATACTGATGTATTAAAAAGCCTGACACATGCTACTAATTTCAGCTCTCAGTTTTTTTTTGCAAGTCTTCAACAGTACATCAGACTTTGTAGTCCACTGTGTTAGAATTGTCAATGGGAACCAAAAGGGGCCTTCCTGGGCTCTTCTTTCACATGAAAAACTGATTTAGTTCTGATTTGGAGGGATGCCTGAGTGCACAGTAACAGTGTGACCACATTGCAGAAGGCCCTTCTCAACTACGAGGATTTGAAGTCTGGGCACATAAGACCACATAAACACCTTACTTCCCCTATCCTAGTCACCCCAAAAGACAGGAATCATCTTCTAGAGGTACCCATCTCTTCAGATGGCTCAGATCAAATGAAAGTAGTCCTGCTTAATGTGACAGCATATATCCTTAGAGATTTTAGCTTACATAAAAAATAGAGATACTTTTATAAATCAGCTGCAACAGTACAGGCTAATTTAGATTCATTTTACCTAGGTTTTGCAGTATGTCTGCACTTTGCTTCTCTTGGAATGACAGCAGAGTAGACATGCGTTTAGGAAACCAGATGTCAGCTTGTTTGGTGATTGATGCAAAGCATTGAGAGTGAAGCCTTGACAGTGAATGTGCTGAGTGTAGGCTGGGCACCACTGGGTATACACTGTCTAGTATTACCTGAATGCACTGTATACTATACAATACTTGTTTACTAATGCATAATGATTCTTTGAAGTCATCTGAACAAGTGAAAATAAAGCCATGAAACATACTAGACACTGTGTAATGAAAATTATCACATTCTAGGTTATTTCTGAAATTCTCAGATCTCTCATTAAAAAAAAAAAAAAAAGAAATCATCTGGTTTCTACTCATCGGCAAGGTTTTCTTAAATAAGTGGTACAGTTAAAAAGGCAGCACAAAACCTTGAAGGCACAGTTTCCTTTCTTTGGGCATTATGTAGAAAGAATTAGAAACTATCCCTGTTTATCTGGTGTTTATCTCAAACATGGGTGAACTACCAAAAATAAAAAGAAGCTATTTGTAGAGAACAAATATGTTTCCTTATCAACTTTTTCTTCGGGCCACTGAATCTTAACTGGCAAACAAAAATGGTTTTGTGGCTCTGTGGCTTATCAGTCTTCATCAGGAACGTTTATTTACAAGCAGTTTCTTGAAGCTATACGGTGAATTCAAGTGTTTTATAAGCTTAGAGTCAGCACTTAAGCAAACTGATAAAACACTATTTACGTGAACAGTAGCACATCTATGCTTTTGACCCAACATGTTTACTTACAGCTGGAGTATTAGTCTCAATTCAGATTTCGTTACACTACAATAGCAAAATTATTTCTGAGATAGACAAAGCTAACTTAGTCAAGCCATATCAGGTTCATTAGAATTACATACATAGATTCATACACAGCATGATGTGTCTCTATCCTCCCTCACCCGTCACCCTGAACTCCACCAGAATTACCAACCCTTGCTGCAAGCTCATCACCCTCTGTGTCTCTAGTGCCAATTTGGATATCCTCCAAATCAGTGTATCTTCCTCTCTTTGCAATATTACCAAGGATTTTTTCATAGCTCAGCTATGTGGCAGCTACATCCACATCAACAGCAGTAAACAAAGCTGCTAGTTCACCCCACATCCCCTAACCCCATGCATGAAGTGGCCAGGTCTCTTTGGCTGGTAGACAGGTAATGCAGATACTGCTATACAAACCTTCAGGCTCCATTGCCCAAGAAGAAGTAGGAGTAAATTCCACTTACTATATACTAGTGAGCTATTCCTTTTCGGTGCCTGTTTCTTGCACTTTCCTTGGAAGGTGCTACTTAGTCAATCATTTCCAAAGGCAACTTACAGCATTTGCAGTCTTGGCTGCTGGAATTATTCTGATGCAGCTCTGTAAAACTGTGCTCGATGTTTTCCTATTTTAACTGCTTTGAAACAATTCCCAGGAAATCACAGAAGGGCTTCTTCGACTGCCAGCACTTGAGAACACTGTACATGTAGTCTGCCAGGACCAATTCCTCTCATTCAGAGAGGAAGGACTATTTTATACCCTGAGGAAATGAACAGTGCAGGGAGGGAAAAAGGTCCTGGGAGAACAGGGCATACGTAGGAGAGAGGGGTTTCCAGCCTGTGGAAGACTGAATGCTTGTGAAGGAGGACATCTCCTTCTGTGAGCACTGAAAATTACTTTGGATTCAGATTCTGGTTCCTTTCTCCTTGAAACACTAGCAGTTCTCCTTAAATCTGAGCAATATCTAATTTAGAGTGCTAAAAGATAAAAATATTCCTTTCCACAATTTATTGTCACAATCAAAGCACATAGACTGAAATTAAAGTAGTATGCAAACTGATATCCCCTGGAAGTTTTGCCTGTGCGCACAGTTTATTACACAGATCCAAATCTATCAAGACACTGAGATTTTAAAAATATTAATAAGAAAATGAAAACCCAGCTTGAAAAATTAATCTAACAAGAAAGCCCAGTCTTTTCAAATCTTTATGATTTTTGTTTGCTTTTTTTTTTTTTTGGTTTTGGGTTGTGGGGTATTTTTTTCAGTAGAAAACCTAATTTCTATTTCTCCTTGTTTTCCTATATTTACCTTAAACCCCACCTCCCTACTGTTTCTTGGGGAATGATTTTTCTGCCCATCTAGACATAGTAAAGCGAATTTTAACATGCTTCTCAGTCTGTCAGCAGTGCCTTGCGAGCACATCTGATCACAGTGATAGATAGCAGACCTTCTCTTTGGTCAATACAACTTCTAAGATGCATATAATATGTAATAGAGACTATGCATATCTTCATCTTACAGCCATGGCTGGAAATCACCGTAAAAATCGCACAAACAAAACTGGAACCAGGAAAGAAGTTGCACTTCCCTGTTACATAGTTTCTCCATCAGCAATAAACACTCACAAAATTTCTTAGTGGGGAGATAAACTTTGACATGAAACATATTACCATGTAACATTGAAATGTAGAGACTTAATAGACCAGATCCTCCACTAGATAAACTCAAGGTAAGCCTAGGGAAACTGCAGCTGCTGACAACAATTGCAGATAGAGCCTGTTTAGGTGGCTCGTTCAGAGCATGCCCATATTTTCTTACTTTTTTTGACAGAAATAAGGTAGAGAAGACACATAAACCAGGAAGGATCTCCAGGATTCTCATGTACCATATAATTTAATTTTATTGTGTCAGAAAAAAAGGTCAAAGGACAAACTGGATAAGAGTTGTAGAGTTGCATCCACCTAGGCGCGCTGAAGATTGACTCCCGTTTTACATATGTTCCTTGCATTTATTTATTTCTTGTAATTTTTGCAGTCTTTGTCCATTGAACTTGTTTTCTGTTTGGTAACTTGTAAGGTATGTTGCCTCCTTAGCTACACATAGATAAAATAAAAACTTGAGAGGAATAATGTAAGGAAGGTTATTATTTAGTAAGTGAGTCAGAATTGCATGAAATACAGGGGCATGGAGGCATCAGCTATGTTTAATTCAGTAAGGAAAATACAATCTCAGGCTTCATTACACTAAGAAGAAAAGTAGTATATTAATCACCTCCCTCCTATCAGCAACAGACAGATATTATTTTATATTAAAATGAAACCCATTTCACTATTGCAGTTTCTATATTTTTGATAAGCAGAATGTCCTTTTTTGGAAAATCAGACTTCTAACTCTTTTGTTTACCCTTCTCAATCCCCTTTTCTGGAAAAAATCTTTCTCGCAAAGGCCATAGTTTACAAAAAAAAACCAAACCCAAGCCACGATATAAGGAAGAGGGAAGGAACCACAATCAATTTTAAGTCCAGCTCTTGCAGGCTGCTCTTCCAGCGAAAGCCATGCCGAGTGTGCATGCAGAGGGCCTCACTGTGAAACAGCAAACTTCAGAATTTTGAAGCTGCTCTAGGAAGAGAAACCATTTGCTACAGATTCTGGTCTCTTCTTCCAACTCAGATCAGTTTTGAAACAGCTTTCTTAATTTTTTAAGTTGCCTCTGAATTTGTCCCATCTGTCCTTAGTTACCTGGTCTCCAGCAGGCTTTGCTCCTTACTTCTCCTAAGGCAGAAACACCAAGTCTTCTTCATTCCCCATTTGCCCCTTCCCACCTTCTAATGCCACAGGCTGTCAGACCATACTCTCCACTGCTGCTAGCACTCTGCTTTAAAAAGAAAATCAGGACACAAGATCTGGAAATGTCTCCTGGATTTTTACATCTTTAATAAGTTAACTGGAAGCTGAGAAGCAAACTGAAGGAAGTTGGAGCTGAACACACTGAAGTTGTGGAGTTAAAATATCCCTCCCCAGGCAAATGAAAACAAAGAAGTTGTATTATTTAATGCGTTGTAGTTTTCAGAAGACTTTGTTGTTGTAACTGAAACACAACTAGAGACTTCCTGCTCAGCGGCTGAAGGACTTACTGAGGAGTCCCTTACAAATGTGTGTACCAGGAAATGAACCTGAATGCCCATGTCACACAAAACCTACAGTAAAATCTACACTGCTGGTAACACAACCCAACATACACCACCACCTCCCCCTCCTGCCGCAGGAGCATGACAAAGTCCAGTAACTCTTGTGGTGTAATGCAGTATGTCACATTACTTGACAAATCCACTAGAAGGACTAAAGATAACGTAGCACTTTGATAAATCATTTATGAACAGATTTTCTTTCACCTTTGCATGTGCATTAAGAAGAGGAAAGGAAAAAATGTGGATGTCATACCAGGAACAACACAAATGAAAATACTGTTGCATGGATACCTAAAATTCCCCCAGCCTGCTTTCCCAGGAGCTATACGTGCATTTGAGAAGGTGTGTCTGTTTTTGCACCTGATACACTGACAGAGAAGTGCCTGCCCACTCTCCACCAAACATTTGACTAAAGAAATAGTACCTCTTTAACTACAGGCTTTCAAACATAATTTCCAGAGTGTAAAGTCATTTCCTGTGCACTATGGGGGTGACAGAGCAGTCCCTGCTTCCTGAAATGTTGGTCAATATGACTTTTCTTTCAGGCAGCAGAATGTGAAAAGGGGGATATTTTTATACAAGGCTAGAGACTAGCAGAAAGTCACCTATGAGACTGGGCTTTGAGCATGTGACAAAGCCGAAATACTGTCCAGAAGATGTCTATGGCTAACATCAGCAATGAAGGGAGATGTCATTTTGCAGGGAGACAAGAACCTTTGTGTACAGCACTGTGTTGTGCAGGTTTTTGTCTGTGTGAACATCATCACAGATATGTTAATGACTTCACCTGCGAAAAGCTGCCTGGGAGATCAGAAGAGGCTGCAGAACCTGTATGCTGTTCCCACATTTCCCCCTCTACCAGAAGTATCAAAACTTGTCCAAGACCAAGCTTACCTCCAAAGGTTCCAAGTCCATGAGAAGACACTTTAGACCAGGTTTTCAATGCATTTTACTGGGAGGAAGAGCAGCTGTGGAGACTTCCTTGTCTCAACACACATCTGTAAGAGGAAGCAGTGCTCACTCTCCCACAGACAGGCCTGAGGGAGAATACTCACATCTGAATTGGGTCTATATTGGTCTTCTTACTGCAGTTTGCAACCTCATGGTAGTAAACTGGTTTTAGCTCCTCAATTTTTCATTTGGAAGGCCATGCTTGTGATTTTGTGCAAATGATTGCTTACTTGCTGTACAGAGAATCTGCTATGAGTTTTTCTGAGAGATTCACCTTTCAACACATGGCTTACGAAAAAAAAAGGCTGAGAAGAAGCAGGGCAGATGCTACTATTCAGCTCTCAAGAACGCTTTAAATTTAACTGTATTTGGGTGTAAACTGTTTTCTGAGTAAAGTGCATAATGAAAAAAAATAGAAACAAAAGAAAATGACCCCACTGGGGAAATGGGGTGATAAGACATTATATAAGGATGAAAGAAAAGATTTCAGGAGCATTTCTTTCCATAGCTATAGCGATGAGTGACAGTGGAAACCAAGCCAATAAGATAGCAGACTTATTTCTGATAGTGGCAATTTCTAATGCACTGTGTGGGTTGTAACCCTGCTCATGAATGCAGGTGGAGGAAGCTGGTTCTGAAACTCTTTTGCCTTGTTGTTTTTTGTTTGTTCTTGTTTTTATTTTTTTTGTGAGATTAATCAAGTTTTGTAGCTCTCGAAACAACCTTCTATGTACACTGGCTTTAACAATGTGACCCAAAGAGAAAGCTACAGAAGAACTGACTGAATACTCCAGAAAGAGTTTTGAAATTAAGAGTTAAGAATTAACAATGGTTTACCAAACAAAAGAAAAATTGAAGTTCAGTCTGAATTTATAAAGGAGGAATAACAGTTCAATAAAAATACCAGGAACAAAGACCTGAAAGCAGTAAGATGAGTCACAGACAAGCAAGAATGTTATCCTGGTGTGCACAGATAGAACAACAAAACACAAGAGCTTCAGACAACCAGGACATTCTCAGTCTCAGAGAGAAGGAAGAGTGGGGAAGAAAGGGCAGGATATTTGAAAGTGTCTTCATGACTCATGCCTGGAAAGTACACGATTGCATAGAAAAGTACATCTTTTTTTACAGCTAAAGGTCATTCATTTTTCTCAGAACAGTAGTACACAGTGAGGGACAGCCATAGTGGATTAATTTATTTCCAGGGCAAAAACCTCATGAATTCCACAAGCATCAGACCTAATAAAGTCTGGTTTCCTAGAGGGTTCTGTCTTCTTGGTCCACTGAAACTCTGAGTTACACTAAATAGAATTTTATTTGAACTACGTTAACATCATTCATTCAAGTTAAGAACATTAGGAATGTGCCAGCTTTCAGCCAGTATTTACATTAACAAACAACAGAAAATTCACCTATCAGGTCAGAGATTTAAGGTGTTGGGCAATTAAGCCTTGTTTCCAACATATAAATATTTTGAATTGAAGCTCTTATTCCCTGTGCGATAAGAGGCAAATTAATACAGAAGCTTCTTCTGCAGTGAAAGGTCTTGAAAATTCTTTCTTTTACATGGCTAACTAATTTTTCTGGCTTTACAGAAACTCAAGATGTCTA